AAATTACATGTTGTTCCGAACTATGCCCACCCGACAAAGCGCGGCGGGATACCCAGGGAGCACCGGCACCCTTGCGGCCTGGCGGCCATGGAGGGTCAACCTGTCGAGTGAGGAGTTCAATGAAACACTCCGCCTGATAAGGAAAATCCTGGCGGCCTCGCGCAGCATCTTGAGACCCCATCTACGTCGGGTTCACGTCGGAGTGACGTCGCGCCTACGTCGGCACATCGCCGCGCGAACGTCATCTCACGTCTGACGGGGCACGCGTGCGGACGAGGTAACACGACCACTGCACGCCGCGCGAGGCCGTCTCCCCCCTCGGTCTCACAGTGGCACGTTCGTCCTCATCTCGACCTGCTGGTCGGAGGCGGGGCTGACCTGCCGGTCGGAGGCGGGGCTGACCTGCCGGCTGGGCAGCCTCGGGTCGCTGACCCGGCGGACCAGCGGGGCGGACGGCGGCGAGAAGGGGCCGTCCTCGGCGCAGGGAGGAAGCGAGGAGGGGAGGTGAGGGGCGAGGTGAGGGGTGAGGGAAAGACGACGACGACGACAACGACGACGAAGAGGACGAGGACTCAGGGGTCCCAGAACCGCGCGGTGACAAGCCGCGCGGTGACCTCGAAACCCCGAAAGACCTCATCGCACAGCCCGTCACCGCACGGTTTTGGGATCCTGGAGGTCCCAGTCGCCCGAGACATCCCTGGAGAACGACCGGGGTCCCAAAACAGAACGGTGACCCCCGAATCCCCACTGACTCACCGCATGGAGTGGTCACCACACCGTTCGGGCCCTCGGGACGACGACGAAGAAGAATAGGGAAGGACGACGACGACGGCGAGGAGGGAGGCAGGGAGGGGAAGGAGGAGGGCGGGAGGGAAGGAGGGGAAGGACGTCGACGACGACGACGTCGACAACGGCAACGACGATGAATGATAATAAGAACCATAATTAAAATTCGAATAATACTAATAATCAGAAGAAGAAATAGAATAAGTATAAGAATATAACAAAAATCAGAATACGAAAACAAATCCAACTAATACGAGTACTGATAATGAGAATCCGAATAATAACAACAAGACTAAGAGTAATACGAATCATAATACTGTTGACAAATAAAGGAATCATAATAACAATACGAATGACTAAGAATAAGGACGATAAACACAATCAGACTGAACAATAAAACTGAAGGCAAGGAGGACAATTATGAAAGTACGAGTAATACGAATAGCAATCAAAAATGAGACTGGAATAATACGAACCAACAAAAAATAGCAAGAATACTGAGAAGAAGGAGTAAGAAGAAAGACGCCGACGATGGCGAGAAAGGGCCGTCCTCGGCGCAGGGGGGAAGAGAGGAGGGAAGGACAACGACGAAGAGAACGAGGATTCTGGTGACGGATACTAGTCTTAGCCAGCATCCGATGCAGGACACCCGCTCCGCCATGCCGAGAATCGAAGCCAACGGCAGATCAAAGCAGGCCCCGCAAAACTGGACAGTTCGCGCAAGACACTCATGTTCTAAACAATGAAAACCGACAAAGTCCCGTAAAGCGCCACCAAGGGGACGAGGAAGAGACCGAGGGGGGCGAGAGGCAGGGGAAGGAGGAGGAAGGGGGCAGTGGGAAGGAGGGAGGAAGCAGGGAGCATCTGCGACGAGGGCAAAGTGGCGATCCCGTCTCTCGGGCCGCCAAAATAACTGTGGGGAAAGACTCCACACTGCTCAACATCGGAGGCGCGCCCAGGGGGGGCGACGCAGGGGGCGGGCTTCTGACAGCCCCTGGCGGCCCACGACGCCCCCAAAGGGCCCCAAGAGAGGCCCGATAGAGGGGGAACTCGCAGTGGGCCCGGGATCCCTCCCCCAAACATGCCCCCAAAGGGCCCACCAGAAGCACCCAGGGGGCCTCAGAAGCCCACAAAAGCATGGCAACGAACGTGGAGGAAGAGAATCACACAAGCAACAACGCCACGTAGAGAGCTCCACGGGAGGCGGCAAAGAACAACTACTTGCACGAAATCGGAAGCCGCACATCGCCTCTTCAGGGGGTCGGCGGAATGGCGCCAGCATATCGAGTAAACACCTGTTGCGCTCCTCCTCAAGCGACCCACCCCCCCACATGCTGATCAACCGACTGGGAGGTGGACGGCGTCCTCAGCGAGGGGGAGAGGAGGAGGAGGACACGAGGAGGAGGAGGAGGAGGAGGAGGAGGAGGAGGAGGAGGAGGAGATGACGCTCTCCTCCGCAGCCATTGCAGCTCAAGTTCGAACCCCGTGTCGCGGGGGCTCGAGCTTGGAGGCTTCCCGCCGCCGTCCGACAGACCACCGAGGGGGCGCCCGACGCGCATGCCATCCCGTTCCAGCCCATCGGCAGGCGGGCGAAGCGCACGCTCCCCGCGGTGTCTCGGGCCCCCCTCGTGTCGGGCGGTGGCTGCGCCGTGGGTCCGGCACGCGGTGCGTCTGCTTGCGAGCGCAAGCCTGTTGGGCTCAAATCTCGCTGCCACGGCGGCACCGATCTTCCCAGAGCTGCCCCCGCAAGAAGCACTCCCCTCCAGAGGGGCCTGGACACGTCAGTCATGGGCGTTTCAGGGTCCAGGAGATGGCAGGAGGAGGAGACAGCGGAAGTAAAGACTGCGAAGGTGGGAAGGGCGGCAAAGGTGGGAAAGGTAAAGTACGTGGAGGAGTATGGGTAGGTCAAGGGCCTCATGGAGGAAAAGTCGGAGGTGAGGAACTGGGACGTCCAGGTCGTGTTCCCCCGACAAGGCGCGAAGATGACAAGCTCACCCCTCACAACGAACTCCACAAGATGTTTCAGGTATCCCAGGGAAGAACAATCCGTTCTCAAAGGAGGAGGCCTCAGCGTTGGCTTCAGATGGGCAGTCTCATCAGCAGGAGAAGCAGCAGCCAGTCCCCACTTCCAAGCCCCCTCGAGAAACTTGAGCAGGACACTGCCCGACGTGGGAGGATAACTGGAGACGTCCGAGCTCGACGGCGCCAGCTTGCTGTGCAGGTGGAGGATATGCAGGACGAGCAGGAGGAGCTGCGGCAGGAGCTGGGGGAGAGGGAGCAGGAGCTGGAGGAGGCGGGGGAGGCGGCGGAGCTGGCCGTCTCCTCCACGGTGCCCTGGGCCTTCGCCGACCCCTGTGCGTACCCTCCTCGATTCCTCGGCAGCGCACGTCCCCGACATCTCGGATCAGACGGTGCAGGCCGAGCTTCTGTCCGAGTTTGAAGCTGCGCGTGCCCGTGTCCCAGATCGACCAGCCCCTCCCGCCGACCGCCCTGTCCGTCTGGGAACTGGAGGAGGAGGAGCCCCTGAAGCAGGAGAGTCAGCAGGGAGTGCCATGCAGGTGGACGATCAGGAACTGTTGGAGGCATTCACTGCAGCAGGGATCACAGAAGCTCAGAAGCGAGATCTCGCGAGTGCGTTCGAGAAAGTTGCGACCCGTCGTGCCAAGGCCTTCGTTGCATCCGCCCTGGAGGCGCGAAGTGGGACGATCCTGATGATTGTTGTGCAGCTCCTGGGTCCCCAGCTCCCGACTCCCCAAGGTCTTCCGGGCAGCAAGGTCAAGTCACCCAGTGCAGGAAAGTCCCTCCGGCTCGTGACTTGCAGTGGAAATTGTTGGAGAACAGCTGACGATTGGGTCGTGCCCTGCACCGCGGATGTTGCGCTCACTCAAGAGCACAAGCTACCCAGAACACGTCAGGTCAGCTCGGGACAGTGGATGCTGCAGTGTGGCTGGCGTTCTTTCTGGTCAGGACTAGGTGTGAGCGAACAAGGGAATTGATGTGGTGGAGCCTGCATCCTTGTTCGACACTATCTAGACGCATGGACATCGCGAAGTGGTGCCTCTTTGAGAGAGCAGCATCTTGCACACTGGTTTTTGCGCACAGCGGAGCTCGGCATAGTCAGTTTGTACCCCATTCGTGTGCAGGATAGCATAAAAAATACAGGTGTCAACGTGGAGATACTAGATTTGTTTGGCCAACATGTTCTAGGACAAGGAATCCCGTTTCTAGCAGGAAGGGACTGGAATCTGGAACAAGGTGAACTCCGAGAAGGCCTCCACATGGGTATCATGCAGGGGGCCTTCAGGTTCGATGTCGAGGCCCACTCACACGTGTTCGACGGGAGAGAGGGATCTAGCAATCTGGACTATTTCCAAGGACCCGCTTTGGAACCTCCGAGTTATGACCGACTTAATGCTCGAGTAGATGAGTTCTTGGGACGGTATGAGGGCGACTAGGGTTTCCGCATGCTCTTGGGTGATCAGAAGATTCAAGGACAACAAATACTGGACGAGGTTACCAGGAATGAGCTGAGAAAGCTTGGGTGGAGCTGCAGCAGGAAACGAACGTCGATCCCCCCTCCCACCTGAGGGTGGGAGGGGCCCCACTCAAGGTGCAAAAACGGCCCCAGAGAATCAGCTTAGCCACCAAGCAAAGTTTGAGGAGACTGCCTGCTGTGGCCTTACCTTGGCTGCGAATGAGACTCCAGGAATTACGATCCCAATTCAGGAAGGTCCAGTCAGGTGGTCGTCCCGAGTATTTCTGGAAACTGGTGAACGCTACGCGGCGTATTGAACAGCGTGGAGGGCCTCTCCGTAAGCATCTTGGCTTTGCTGGTGAAGGCTGGCAGGGCATATTGCAACATTTGCGTTTGAGGATTTCGAGAGCAACCGGTCAGGATGATGGCCTTGTTGCTGGCTTTGACGCATGGCGTCAGATGCTCACGATAGTTGAGAGGAACGAGGTCAGCACGGCGAAGAAGCAGAAGCTCAGCGACTGAAGTCTTGGTGTGAGGGGGCTCTCGATGGAGGCAGCAGTCAAGCACATCGGTATACTAAGCTCAAAGCCCCTTTATCAGGAGGAGATGTACATTCGGGGTGATGAAAACAGAACGGCATCACTGGATGGAATTCTGGAGCAGCCGGTGGCAGCGTGGACCAAAGCTTGGGATGCACAATCGTTCTAGAGCTTGACCATAGAAGCCCCAGCTCGAGTACCACCACGAGTACGACCATAATTACTTCGACGCATATCATCCAAGTTCAAGGTGAACACCAGTGCCATGGACGGCACTCATCCCAAACAACTCAGCCTCTTGTCGAGTAGTTGTCTTCAAGTCTTGACTGGAGTAAATACTATTATGAACATGGTGGCCAATGCACCGACGCCGCTCCAGCAGGTTATCTTGGCTTCGTTCAGGAAACCACAAAGAAAAGTAGACGGCCCATCGGTTTCTTCACAGGTACGGTTCGACTTCATGAGAGACTGCTTGCATGGGAAAATCAAGAAAGTGGGAGCGAAGTGTGGCTGATCACCCTTCGTTCAGCATGGGGCCTGGTCGTGGGCCTCTTGATGCAGTGTGGAGGCAAGCGACGCGAGGAGAAGCACTGGCAGGTGACGGCTACCAGATCCGTTCAGTGCTGTGGGATCTCAGGCAATTCTACGACCATGTCCAACACGAACGTATGCGGCGTTGAGTATCCTATAGCAGCTACCCAATACAGTTTGAACACGTACAAGTGGCCGAGGCGGATTGCATTGGATGGTTTGATTTCGGATCCGATATGTGCACATCGAGGCGTTATTGCAGGAACGGCGACGGCTACATTCGAGGCGGAATCGTACGCAATACCGTGTGTCAATGCGTGACATGAACATGATATGGAGGAGGTGGCAGATGTGGGTTTGAGCACGATCACGCTGCACATCGACGATGTTGGACTGAATGCGGCAACCCCGTCTTTCTATAACTGTGTGCAGACCAAGTACCAGAAGGCGGTGTCGCTGGCGTTTGATAAGTTCACATGTACTGGGACGACCAGACTTTTAGTTGTTGCCTGTAAAGCTTCCCTGGGAGACCTGGCATGGAGGACGCAGGTGGCGGTGAGTAGCTTGGGTGCGGATTATTCAACAGGGTCTCATCGGGCCAAGGCTGGACACGGACGCGTGAGAAGGAACATGCTCGCAGTCATCAAACATCGCATGCGGAAGCAGAAATCCAAGCTTCAGCTACATATGGAGGCGAGGTGGTAGGCAATTCACCATCGGAGATATTGGTCTTGACACGTGCTGGAGCCAGGGCCTTGGGCTTCTTGGGCGGTGCTCTTGATGCTGGCTGGACTCGATACCCCAACAAGGACCCGAAATCCAAGGCAGCTGATACACTTCAACGTTATGCGAAGGAATAGTGGCAGGCATCTGATCGGGATCGACTGCAAGGAGATACACTCACGGTGCAGGAAGTATCCAGATGTTTCCATCTTACTATTGGTAAGCTCAAAGATGTACTAAATTAGGCCTGCTGGAGGAAGAAAGTCACGGGACCCCTTTTCCGACATGCACTTGTGGATGAAGGAGGCAGGCTGGGAGGCTGTGAATCCTGCAATTTTTGTGGTAGCGGATGGTACGCATCATCATCTGACCACCCCGCCTAAGCAGATAGTAGAGAATTGTTATCCAGGACTTGAGGAAACGTGCTGTGCAGCCTGCGGTGGCCAGGCCTCTTGCGGAATCTACCGATCCCAGAGCCCTGGAGATCCGCAAGCAAGGCTTGTGGTCCCCGGGTCCGCGCAGGTTGCTTACCAGCAAGACGCTTCCGAATCACAAGAAATGTAAAGGTTTACTTGCTCAAGTTTTTACGGGCCGGTATCCCACAGGCCGAACTCTCCAAACATGGGGGGGTCCGACCGATTGAGACTGCCCGAGATGTGGGAGACCCGATTCGATGTTCCATCGCACCTGGGAGTGTCCAAGTTCTCAGGCCGAGCGCGAAGGCCAGGACGAGGAAATTAGGACCATGGCCCTCCACCACGGGAAAGGACACCCCCTCTTCTCTTCCCTTTGGATGGCCACCCCTCTCGTCACCGAAAAGCCCAAGGAGGAGCCTGAGGTCCTGTTGTTTGATTACAACGACGATGGTGAGCCGTTTGTCTCCAGCAGGGCAGGAAGGCGCCATTACAGGGACAGGAGCTGCTATGACGGGGCTGTTCCAGGGGTTGCTCGAGCGGGCTGGGCTTTGGTTGAAGCGTCGGCCGAGGGGTCTCCATCAAGGGAATGTGTGGGCCTGTGCCAGACGGGATCCCGCAGACATCCTCGGCCGCCGAACACCGTGCCACCACCTGTATGGTTCAGAGGTTCTTGGAGCCCCCCGACCCTCTGAAACCCGTCCAGGATCCTTCTTTGATCGCAGCCTGTCTCGGCACCGCCCTCCGTTCAGATTGCTCGGCTGTAGTGTGGGAAGCCACTAACTACATGATGGCCAAGCGCCACTCGCCACACGCTGGGTACTGGCGAATATCTGGCGAGCCCTCTTTCCTGTGAGTTAAAGTGAAGGCTCACCGACAAGAAGAGCAGGCCACCTGTGCTGAAGACCTCTACAGCATCAGAGGCACTAGTTTAGCCGACCAGCATGCCAAGGTGGCGGCCAGATCCAACATTATGCGTGCTGCAGATTTGAAAGCCTTCGTAGATGCATGAAAGCTGTATGAGAAGGTGGCAATCAATATGCTCCAGATCCTTGTGGAACGGCCTCCCTTGAAGGACCTCTGTGGTGCCCGTTCGAGGCCGCACGGGGCCCGTGCTTTCCCTGCCCCTCCCGGGCCTCACGACCCCGTGGGGGTGGGAGTCCGATGGAGGCGCAGGCGATGCCGCAGGACTGGAGCGCGTCCGCTGGCCAATTCCAGGTGCTTTGACTTGTGCCCGTCCCTTCGGGAGTTGGGCATCTCGGCTGCGAGGCCTGGATGTCCTCACTCCCCGTGGGCTGCCATCATCGTCAAGTCAGAGGTGCCTCGAATTGCTTGAGGGAGGCGTGGGTATATGAGCGCCACGAGAGCTGTGAAGCTTAAGGGGCCGTGCCACCCTACCCCCTCCTCTATGAAGGCCCTCAAGAAGTTGTGGAAGGGTGCAGGGGCAGGGTCTCCGCACAGGATCTCAGACCCATGGCCCATCCAGGCCCCCTCGGTCCCCTTTGTTTCAGGCGCCTCACGGTCCAGGCTTCTGTTGTGCCTCAAGGAAGGCATCCCCTGAACTGCGACGTCGAGGCCGCCTCTCTCTCTCTCTCTCTGCCTGCTTGTGAGCATACTCGAAGCAGACCTTGAATGGTGTAATGGTGTAAAAGATAACGCTCCATGCTGCTGCCTTAAGTCCGCGCAACATCAATGAAAAGGAGGAGGATAACGACGAGGACCAGGAGGAGGGAAACGAGAAGGAGGAGAAGAAGAAGGAGGAGAAGGACAAGGAGGAGGAGGAGGACGAAGAGGATTGTGCGTGGGCGACTTCCCCGAGTGGCACAAGGAAAAAGGAGGAACCAGGAGGAGGATAGAGGAGGAGAAAGAGGGCGCAGATCAGCAGAAAGGACCGGTCGGAGGACTGGGACCTCGGACCCCCCCGCAACACACCCCCGCACCCCGGCGCGCGAAGCGCGCTGGAGGCAGCGCCAAAGGCGCCAGGGTGTTTGTGGGCGGCGCGCCGAAGGGGGAGGCCGAGAGGGGACGGGCCTTCCCCGGAAGGCTCAGAGGAGGCCTCGGGCCCTCTGAGAGGGGCCTGCGCCCTCCCCGAAGGCGCACCGAGCGTCTGCGGAGGCGCGAGGGCCGCTGGGAAGCCCCGCCGGGGCGGGTGGCGCCCGGGGCGGCGCTCTCACCTTGGCGTTCCCTCTGTGGCGCCCCGCGCTCTCTGCGGCTGCGCGCGCGCGGCGGGGCGGGCGGGCGTGGGCCCGCTCCGCTCCGCGGCCTGCGGCCCTCGCCCTCGAGGGCCTGCCCTGCGGGGGGGGGGGGGGGGGCGTCCTCCATGCAGGCCCGCGCACGCAGCTTCCTCAGCAGGTTGCAGCGCGCGGCTGCGCTGGACTCGCTGGTGAGCTTCGTGAGGTACAGGCCCTCCTGAGAGCGGCTCGGGAGGGTCCCCGACCCCTGGCACCGACGCCTCTGGTCCTCCTCCTCCTCCTCCTCCTCCTCCTCCTCCTCCTCTCCTCCTCCTCCTCCTCCTCCTCCTCCTCCTCCTCCTCCGCCTCCTCCTAGCTATTTCTGTCGGGCAGGGGGGTCCCATATTATAGACGACAAACTTAGAAGTGCTCGTGCCCCCACGAGCCATCCAGAGCGGTGGGCCCCAGCGTCATCACCTCCGAAGGCTGGGGCTCGGCCCACCGACGTGCGCGGGGGGACGGCGGCACCCTCCTCGCGCCGCTCCGGTCCTCTCTTGCCCCGCCGCCCTCGCCCCGCCATCCACGGACTTGCGCACCACCACCCCAAGGCGACCCACTCTCCCTCTTAAAATAAAATGAATCGGTATGTGTATATATATACTCAATATATATATATATATATATGTGTAAATAATAAATCAAACCATGCGGAAACGTGATAACCGACGTTAGCAGCTGCAGTGCTGGAGCTAGTTCGCGCGAGAAAGTGCGGGCGAATATCCTATGCTACAACACAGGAATCAGTTCGTGCGAGACAGATAGCGAGGCACGAGACAAGTATCAGCTACAAAACTGGGGTCAGCTCGTGCGAGGTGGGCAATGACAGAGTATGCAATCATTGCAAAGAAGCGGTGCGAGAGACAATCTTAGCTACAACGTTGGGATCAGCTCATGCGAGAAGGGGGGCAGTGAAAGTGCAAACAGTCATTGCGACACAGCGGGGCGAGAGCCAATCATCAGCTATAGCGCTCGGATCAGCTCATGCGAGAGGGTGGACAATGACAGTGCACGCAGTCGTTGCGAGAAAACGGAGTGTGAGCCAACCACCAGCTACAACGCTGGGATTGGCTCAGTGCCGACGGCATGAAGCGACATAGCAGCCGTGCAAGAAGAGAGGCAGTGGCAATTGGCTGACAAAATTGGAATCAGGGCGTGGACCGCGAAGCTGGAGCCCGACGGCAGCAGCTGGAAGGCGAAGCCAGCGCCCGACGTCGGCAGCTACAGTGCTGACATCAGGGCGTGCGAGAAGGGGCAATGGCAGCAGGCGGCACTGGCACCACCCAACGACAAGCTGGCGGCGAAGCTGGAGCCTGAGATCGTCAGAAACAGTGCTGGCAGTAGCGCGCGCGAGAAGAGGGAGCAGTTGCAGCAGGCTCTTGCGCTACTCGCCGAAATAACGGAGGCGAAGCTAGAGCCCAATTTCATCAGCCGCAGCGTTGATATCCAGGTGCGCGACAATAAACAGCGACCGGCGGCTCCACAACCATCTTGCGAGAAGCGGGAGGCTAAGCTGGAGGCCAAAGTCGTCAGCAGCCACACTGTAAAAACCAGCGCGTGCGCGAAGGGCGAGCTCTGGGAGACGAAACTGGAGCCATCCGCCATCACCTACAACACTGGGGCACAAGGACGTGAGAGAGACGAGCAGTGCGAGAAGTGGGAGGCGAAGCTGCGGGAAGGCAAACCATGGCCGCCGTATCTGGCGCCGAAGGGAAGCTGACGAAGCTGGAGCCCCAGATCATCAGCTACAGTTCGGGGATCAGGGCGTAGAAGGCAAACTGGGGAAGGCGAAGCGAGAACCCGATGTCAGCTAAAATGCGAAGTCGTGCGAGAAGGCGAGCAGCGGCAGCCATCACTGTCGCCACTCTGCGCGATGAGGAAGGCGAAGCTGGAGCCTGATGTCAGCTACAGCGCTGGAATCAGGGCGGCACAGGCGGTCATCAGTTACAAAGCTTGTGTTCGCCACAACTTCGGGGAGAGTAGTTGGAACCAAAAACCTCAGTTTCAGAGCGCAAGGCTTGCAAGACATGCCAATTTGAGGCCGCCCTCATCGCCCAGGAAAGACCTGGTGGTGAGCGTCCTCCACATCGTCGGCCCTGGAGTCGTGCTCCCTGTAGGGTTGATCAGGCCAGTCGAATCACAGTCGAACTCTCCTCCTCCTCCTCTTCCTCCTCCTCCTCCTCCTCCTCCTCCTCCTCATCATCATCATCATCATCACCATCATCAGCAGCAGCATCATCAGCATCATCATGACCACCACCACCACCACCATCATCATCATCATCATCATCAGCAGCAGCAGCATCATCATCCTGGTCATCATCATCATTGTCATCAGCATCACCATCCTCATCCTCATCCTCATCATCATCAACAACATCACCATCATCATCACCACCACCATCATCATCATCATCATCAACATCAGCCTCATCATCCTCCTCCTCATCCTCATCCTGATCATCATCATCATCATCATCATCATCATCATCATCATCATACTCCTCCTCCTCCTCCTCCTCCTTCTCCTCCTCCTCCCGAGAAGTGAGGGACGGAGGGAGGGGGATCGAAGTTTCCGAACGCTTGGACACATGTTGTGCCCCTAGAGGCCTCGAAGGGTCTTTTTTTTTCCTGGCAAGGCGACAGAGATGCACCACTGGAATTCCTAAAACACTTCGGTCAGGAATCCAACTCCTATCGAGCACAACCCTGAGCTGCCGGATGTTATATATCTGACTCTGAGCACCGTGCACTAACACGAAAACTTAAAGTCCGACATTCTGCTGGGGCGGGCCGCAAGCCACAAGAGCAGGCTTCAAAACGCGGATGCCGCCACACACCTAAAGCCGAGTTCAAAGAAAAGTAACGAATTTCCCCCCAGCACCAGGAGGAGGAAGCAGGAGGAGGGCGAACGGGAGGACGAGGAGGAGAGGAGGGGAACACTGGCCCGCTCGCATAAAACGACACTGAGAGTGCCCAGCGTGGACTCGTCGTCCGAACGGCTGGCACGTCCGGCACCGACATAGTGACACCACGATGCCCAGGGGGGGGGGAGGAGGGAGGGAGGAGGGAGGAGGAAGAGGAGGACGAGGCCGAGGAAGCGAGGAGGACAAATTGACAAAACGTATGCCCACACGTCCAGTGTGGAAATCGCGAGGCGGCGGCCGCCGGCGAGCCATTGCCAGGTCCACGTGGCACGATCGAAGCTACTGATTGCAAGCCTGGGTTCGAGAAGAGCGCCCAACGACCTCACTGGCCGGCCCAAGAGGCCCCAGGGAGGGCCCCAAACGGGCACTAAGAGGTACCCAGAGAGACCGAAAAACAACACGCAATTAACACAACAACCTCCCCAACAAGGAGAAAGACGGTGTTAAATCCAGGCTGGATTTCGAGCCGCCCAAGGTACCACTTGGAACCCGGTAGGGGCCCCAAGGGGACCACTTGGGAGCCCTGGGAAGCCTGGACACCGGGCGCCGAGGGGAGGAGGGGGAGGAGGGGGAGGACGACGACGACGAGACAAACCGGCAGAGGGGAGGAGAGGGGAACCATTACCTATTCCACACTGCAGCTACAATGTTCGCCAGGCCGGCGTGTGACGCGCAAGCCTCGCGCGCATACTGTACCAAGGCTTCCTGCGCATCGGCAGTCTGACCGTGGCGGGCGGCGTTTCCAGCAGCGTACACTGCGTACGCGGCCAGGGCGCGGCGAGCAAGTTCACTGGCCGTGTCATCGCGGAACGGAGGGGTTAAAAGAATAAAGCTAGACAAGCGATCAGGACGAGGAGGAGGAAGGAGGCCCAACCGCCTCCGGCTAAAATCCGCGACCCGCGGGCAGAAAGCATAGTGTCGCAGGCTGTCCTCGGCAGCACCGCAACCAAAAACGCAATTCAAGCGTCGTTGCATGCGGTGGCTGGTGTTCCAGCCGGTGCAGAGCGCGCGAAAACTGGACGCCCAGACTCGAGGACGTACCAGGCGCGCCAATCCGCGGAGGGCACAGGTGGCCCGCTCCAGGCGGCGACCCGGTAAGAGCGGAATGGACAGGCGAGTCAGGCAGCGGCTCAGGTGGCGGACCGCCCCAGTCGGGGACGGGTCTTCCAAGAGAACTCGGCAACGCTTCTGCCATTGCTTCCGCGGAGGGGGCTCCGCAGCAGCACCCTGCATCAGCTCAGCCGTCGTCAGCCCTGCGCTCGTCGCCTTCTGCTGAAGCAGCCCGTGGGCCTGGTCAAGGTTGGTGAAGAAATTGTGCTGGTACCAGTCGTGCCATCGTGCCTGCCGCATCACGTAGTCGGAGCTCCCTCGCACGTGCTCCAATGCCCGGGTTCGTCGGCGAACTTGGAGGCCGCCGTGCGCCACGTTCTCCCACTGGTAGACCCGGCACTTCGCCGCCGCCGCAGTCGCGCGGGCGTCAATGAGCGCGGACTGGAAGCCGAGGGTGCGCAAGCTCCGGAGGGCCGCGGGAGGCGCCCACCCCCGCGGACCGGGGAAGAGAATAGCGCACGCCTTTTGCTCATAGTCATCCCAATCAGCGGGGGGCCAGTCAAGTTGAAGCACGAAGCCGAGAACCGGGAATATGTATGTGCGGTAAGCCAGAAGCGTCAACAACAAGCCACATCCAATGTCTCTCCAGATCCGGGCTCGCGTAACGAATTTGTCCAAGGGCTTTGTCCAAGAATGCTCCGCGCGCTCTGGCCCCACAGCAAAACCCAGGTAGGTGGCATAACGACGGATTGTAAAGTCGCTCCAGGCGGGGGCCGCCGCGTGGAGCTGAATCCGCACCTGGTCTAAGTCGCCCAACGACAGTGGCACCCATACCGACTTGCCGTGGCGAAGCCGGAGTCCAGAGAGCAGGGCGCACTCCTCGAACATGTGCTCCAAGATCGGGGCGTCTCTCCTCCCGTGCGAGAGCACGACCGCCAGGTCGTCGGCATAGGCGCGCGGCAAAGCATCAGGAACGCGACGGGCGAGTCTCCGAAGAAGAACATCTCATAGCACCGCGAACAGCAGGGGGGATAATGGGCAGCCTTGGCGCACCCCTGCTGTGAGAGTAAATCCATCGAACTTCGCCCCGCCAGCGACGATATTGCAGCGGTTGTTCCAATAGAGTGCGCGGACCAAACAAGTGCACCACGTAGGCCAGCCACGCGCGGAAATCACCTCCATCAAGAATTCCTGGCTGACGATC